GACCCCTCCTTGGGTTTCCTAGGTAGTATCAGGCAGGGTATTTCTGATGGTAGGAACAGCTTAAGCAAGGGCACTGAGATGGAAGGGGGATTTTCTAAGTTCAACTGAGGGCATGAATTTGAACAAGAACACTTACTGAACAGTGCTAGGCCACATGTTAATGACTGTTACACAAACCAAAGGCCTCTTGTTCATACAAGTTTGAAGAACATTGGGGTAAATATGGAAGATTAAAGACTACAGAGGCCTCAATAAAACTGGGGGAGCACCAATGGGGCTACAGGGAAAGGCAGAAGGAACAGCATGTGCAAAGGTTCTGAAGCCAGATGATCTTGAATGTTCCAGGAATAGCAATAAGGTCAGTATGGCTGAAGGAGAGGGAGGTGATGGAGGGGTGGGTTAAGAGAGGTATCAGGCCCAGACCAAGTAGGAGCTCTTTCGTTGAGCCTCTGGCATTGAGTGTGCTTGATCTCAGTTAGTGCTCATCATGGTCTGTGAGATGGGTACATTGATAATACCCAGTAGATAGATGAAGAGACTGAGGCTCAGGGAGGTGAAGTGACTTGCCCAAGTCTGCACAGTTTCTAAGTGCAGAGCTAGGACTTGAACCCAGGCCTCTGAAGCCTGTATCATGGTCATCATTAGCTCTCCTGCTTCTACCTATGCCCCCTTCAGTCTCTTCACCCCATAGCAGTTGCAGTGAATCACATCATGGCAGGTCCTGCTCAGAACCTTTCAGTGGCTCTGTTTCCACTTACAGTAAAGTCAAACTCCTCACTGTGGCCTGTGGAGTGTGGTGTTATCTGGGCCCTGTCTGTCTTGCCAACCTATTTACATACCAGACTCCGTGCCTCCATGGGCTTCCACCTCAATGACTTTCTTTCTGGCTTTCATACGTTGGTTCATTATTGAGGGCCTAATGTGTGTGCCTGGAGTCCCTGGTGCCACAAACAGTTAAGCACTCTCCAACTAACTGAAAGGTTGGCAGTTGGAACCCAGCCAGAGGTGCCTCAGAAGAAAGGCCTGGACATCTGTCTCCAAAAAGTCACAGCCTTGAAAAGCCTTTGGAGCCCATCTACTCTGACACACATAAGGTCACCACCAATTGGATCAATTCAGTAGCTCCCTTTTTTTTTTGTTAAGTTTTGTGTCAGATACTGTTCCAAGCCAGGAGTTGGAAACTGTCCCTCATGGATCTTACATGCTAGTGGAGGGACATGATGGTCAAGAGAAAGTCAAATTAAAACAACAACAAAAAAAACCCTCACTGCCATCGAGTCGATTCTGACTCATAGTGACCCCCTCCTTGGGTTTCCAAGGCAGTATCTCTATGGAAGTAGATTGCCCAATACTCCTTCTGAGGAGTGGCTGGTAGGTTTGAACTGC